AGTTTTATCTAGAGCGAAGGGTAGTGCAAATGTGCTCTAGAATCAAGTTAGTGACAGAATCCTTCTTATCTATCAGAATTTCCAGAAAACCAGGTTAGAGCTAACAGAGTTAATGATGCACTGAAGATACCCATAAAGCCCATTACCAGAGAAACTACGTATAGGCAGAAAACCACACCTCTTGATATTCCATCAAACCACACCATCCCCACCTTACATACTTTATATTCACCTCATATCCAACTAAAGTATATAATTCCACAAGATCAAAAGGATAAATGTAAAAATTAGTCTGATATTTAATACTGTAGACCTATATGAGGTAGAGATGATATCATGAAAAACAGCAGAGAGGGAGATTAAACTGTGATAAATGTAGGATCTTACAAAAACATGTTTAGGCCACATTTCACTTCAAACTCAAAAGATAAAAAAGAGAGGGAATTTGAATCTGCATAAAGAAAATGAAGCCTATTTTTAGGACTACTAAGATTTTTGGTATCTTGACAATATTTTTACTTCATCAGAAATGGGTATTTTCTTACACTTTTTTATTTATACTTCTATATTCCCATTATTAAGTAGATTCTTTTTATTACCTATAAAACATATTTCAATTCAATTCTTTTTTTTTATGCTTAACTCTTATCAATTCAAATAAACCCAGTAGAACAAATAATATCATTTAAATAATATACCATTGTGTATAAATACAAATTATAGTCATGAGGATTGGTGGAAAATGTCCTTAATTGTCATGAAAATAATATTACAACACAAAAATAGGCTTTATTTCCTTTAATCCAAAATATTATTATTTATTTATTTATTTTTATTCTGGGGAAATACAACCCGGACATGTTCTTTGGGTTTAATGTTCTAACTGGTTTAATGAGATTCTTCCACAAAACCAAGCGAACTGTATTTCAAAGGTATCTTTTTAAAAAATGGCATAGTTTGAAGTTCAAAACGTTTCCTGATCACCATCTCCGCTCTTTTCAACTGAAAGTGTGTTGGGGCAAAACTATGTGATGCTGTGCACAACGGGCTCAACCTCATTATATTTCTTTTTTTAATAGAGTGGATAAATATACTGAAGAAAGCATGTAACCATGCAGTAACAGACTGAAAGGAAGCTCAGAGCACATCCCGATCAGTAGTCAAATATTACATCACAGCTACTCCAAATGAACATTCGCAGGCTTTGAATTTTAAGAGTTATTTAAAGGGCACATCTGAGATTCCTTTTGTCCATGTAGGTTACTGAAATACTGACATATACATGTGAGTACAACTGAAATGTTAAACTACATATACATAAGAGCAGGAACTAAATAAAGCAAATAGGACTCCATATGGAGTCCAAACTTACCAAAAGAATAATCCAGAAAATAGCCATGTTAAGCATGCAAAAAATGCAAAAAACAAAAAAGGAAATATAAAACAACACTAAAAGGCAACTCAAACACAGTTAAACATGACACAGCTCCACATCATTGCGAGAAGCAGTTAAACATTTTTAACACAAAGTAGAAGGCAAAAGCAGCATCTGAAATATACAACACTTCAAAAGGACATGGTGGTTGGTTATTACAGTGGGACCAAAATGAATAAAATGAACACAAAACACATTTGACATGAAATGCATATATAAAACAAATATTTAATAGCACACATGAAAAAAAGTTTGGTTAATTTGTTATGAGACAATCCCATTAAATAAATTAAATGATCGATGGCATGATGCTGATGATTTTCCTCTGTTTTCCCAAAAACATCTTTACCTTCCGGCTTATAAACAAAAATCCAGGCTAAATGTCATCTTTACCTCTTTTCCTCCAAAATTGTGCTGGCTGTAAAGAGCTTGCACTCAGGACAAGCACGAATTTCCATTTACTTGAGTGTCAATCTATAATGTATCTGATCTGTCTTTACCATTACATGCTTTGATTTAGCATTAGAAGTTATGTAAATATAAAACATATTTCTTAGCACTCAATTCACACAAATGATTTTTTGAATTAAAGTTTAAATTTTTCAACTGAATGTGCATCAAGAAGGAACAATTGGGTGATTTCAATATAGGCAACTTTGTGGATTATAATACAAGTGGTCTAGTTTTGTTTTGTGTTTTAAAAATAGTACCTATTATTATCCCACTCCCTATGTTCTAACATTAATGGTCAAGATCATCAGGGTTAAAGGAGCAAATTTTCCAATGTGCAGAATTGTGTCAGAATACACACTGGCTCTGGCACCAGGATCTTGTTGGTGGAAAAGGGGTATCTGAGACAAATAAGCAAGGGTAAAAATGTATTTTTTTTACCCCAAAGTAGTCATCAGAGCTGTGCACAGAGATCAGAGACTGTAATAGCAGAAATGCAGGACCAAAACCAGTAGAGGTGTGAAACTACGACACGCCTACATTCCTAAAGCAACATGGGTTGAACGGATGTCATTTCCTGATCTGATAAACACCAACAAAGAACTGGTGACTGCATCTCCTCTCTGGGTTATATGGATTGATCCACACAAAAATTATTCCACATTAAGAATAAATCATATTTGTGGTGTTGTGGTCAAGTTAAGGGTGGCCAAAGGTTCCTGGAAAGAAAGACAGATCTGGGAAAGCCCCTCTCATGAGGACATCACCTCATGTTCGATGACTTAATAAAGCTGACACTACATCAAGCCTTTGAAAAAGAAAAAAATTGGGCTGCATGACAAAACATAGTGTTTTTACAATGACTTCAAACTAAACCTCCATATTCAACAACCATAAGAAGTGATGTTTGAATCACTCTCTGATGGTTGAGGAATGAGCACCATGGGAACCCATGAACCAAGCATGGTAAACATGCTTCAGAGATGTTCAGGGTTGTGGCAATGGCAACAAAGTATTAAAGAAAGGACTGGGCTTGGTGACTGTGGTGTTGGAGGGGGTATGATGGTAATCAGAAGGGAGACTAAAAGTGCTGAAACACAGAAAACAAATCTCTCCACTTTATAATATCAGCTCAGAAGATGTTTACAAAAGTCTATCTAAAGTCAATATATAGAACAGCAGTTCTCAACCAGGGGGCCGGGGCCCACTTGGCAGCCTCAGCAAACTTTCAAGGGGAGAGCAGGATGATTTAGAAGTAATTTTATTATATATTTATTAGGCATAGAACAACTTTAGATTTTTTTTAAATCGGCATTTATGTGATTAAAGTTGAGTCAACGTCGACTAGTCACTGATGATGTCATTAATATACAAATAAGCCTCAAGAACCTCAAGGCTGGCTTGTGCACAGCTGGCATATGACACAGCGCTGCCCACAAAGCTATCGCTCCTACATAACAGCTTATAATTATCAGTTCTTTTGTCTTTGGGTCGTAAGTGACAGAGCGATTGTATGTGAATTCATTCTACCCGTCTATGCAGCATCTCTCTACTAATAGTATTAAGCTGTCGGTTTCTCCTGTATACATGGAATTGCAATATCCCGATGTAAACGGCGACGCACGGTTAGCGTCAAGACGTACGGACAACCTTAAGACGCACTATGCGTCATTTCTGATTCTTCTTCCTGTATCCAAAGACAACAACAATAGCAGCAGCACGCGGATAATGAATAGTTCGGGGGCATCGGGGCAGATAGCGATCGCTTTTGTTTGCGCTTTGGTGCTGGTACTGACCTCGCTCCAAAAGTATGCTGTGCTGCGTCTCGCCATGTTTACTTCCGGTGTACTGCACGCGGGGTTTTGTATGCGCTGAGAAGTTCCTCTACTCAAAAGACCAAGATTCCTTGCGAATAGAACATGCGCAGAACACAAATCACTATGGGGATATGCCGATGCGCGTTTACATGACCAAAAATTCGGGTTAGAAAAGGGGTACCCTAGGTATCATATCCCGGTTTTTAAAATCCGGGATATGAGCATATTCGGGTTTTTGCCGGTGTTTACATGGCCGTGCGCGACCGGGTTATTGCTAATATCCCGGTTTTGAACGAGTTAATTGGCTGCATGTAAACGTAGTCAGTGTTGACAATACGTTTCTGCGCTACTGAATGTTTCTACGTGTGCGCGTTCTGCTTGTTATATGTGAGCTACTGTCTGTATGTGTGTGCGTAACAATGCAGCAGTGCATTAGTTTCGAATGTGATTAACTTAACTGTACAATAAGCTGTGTAAAACGTGCATTCACCCAATCAATTTTGAGCATCTAGATCTCTGAGTATGCATTTATTTGTCATTTTAACTGTTGGAAACGGAGCGTAAAAGTGGACTTCAAAGATTTCTTATCCTGTTGCATCCTCTATAGGCCATGATCAGCGACTAGTCGACACCAAGCTTAAAGCGTCATGGCAAAGCATTAAAGTTGATAAATATATATACTAGGAAATATAATTACTATTAATTACATTTATATTTTTTTAAATACTATATATTAAAATAATTTACATTAAATGCTAAAAAATAGACACAATGTGAGTTGAGAACCATTAATAGAGAGGAACTGTTCTACAAGTTTGCTGTTGAACAACCACTAACATCAGATACATTAAATATGTACTTCTATAATCAAACTATTCAAAATCAGAGTTTAATGCCTTTAAAGAAGCCCTTACAGGGTCCTGCACAATAGCTGATGTGATCCGGGCCATGGCACCAGATTTAAATAGAGGTGTATATTCTTATCCGATATAATGACAGAAATTATGGAGGGGGGAAAAACTTTTCGCTGGAATGTTCCTTGGTAAACATTGGTTATCAAAACCTTATTTACTGATGCACCACTGGAAACAGGAGAAAACATGCAGTATTATCTCTCGACAAATATCTTGCCTGATTAAAGCTGTTGTAAATGGTTTAAGCCATTTTGCCAAGTGCAAAAAACACACAACAACAACAAAAAGCAAAACCACTTGCAGCACCTTTAATACATTAAACATTGGAATTATAGTCTATTAGATGAGTAAAACATTATATCAGCATCAACATCATAACATTCACTCAAAATACTTGATTCATAATATGAAACTCACGTTGTTGTTACGCGTCTCAACGGCTGGGAATTTTCTTACGATGAATTTCACAGCTGACTCCAGGTTTTTGTCAATTAGGTAGGAAGGTTTTGCCTTGGGATCTCCACAGGCCTACAATGAACAGGAAAAAAAAACATCACTGCTAAAAGTGCAACAGCTTGAACACCACCACTGTGAACATGTGCAGAAAACTGATAATCCACTGATCATGAAACAAAGATTCAAACCGTTTGAGACAGATCAGAGAGGAAGAACAGTGAGGTAAAGTGCAGGGATTTGATCACAGTTAGAAAATGCAGTGGATGGAGAAAAAAAGAAAAGAAAAGAGAAAAGGCCAGAATGTTGAAGAGACTGAAAGAGAATAAAGAACAGAAAGAATGGAGGGTAGGAATGGGAATCGTAAGGAACTTAGTTATTTCAGTTTTATAATGATTCTTAGACCCTTTTAGGAAGCACAAAATAATTTATTCACTATATCATATTTACTTACTATATGGGATGCTAACCATTAACCGACGATCGATTAATTGTCGACTGTCATATTACTTTATAAAGAGAACAATATAGTAATAAAACGTTGCAAATTATTTGAGTTTAGTTGCCTTGTTTCTGCGCGTTGGTCCAGGACAGTTCACAACACGAGTCACACATTGTGAATAGCACGTAACTTAGGTCAAGTTCACTTGTACATTTGCCTCATTTTGTGCAGATAATTTGTAATATTATGTTTATTTTGTATATATCTGATTAATCTCATATAGGATGCGTTTTCGTTGAGTTAAATAACCCGCTAGCAAAGCGCTTCAGTTTACCGATGTTCATTCAGAGCTTCAGCGCGCACAGCTCAAACAGCAATGCACGAGTAATAACAACTATGATTGTGACTGTCATTACATACATTATAATGAGAACACTATTCTAATAAATCACTGTGAATTCATTGGGTTTAGTTGCCGTGTTGTTCCAGGAAGAGCACATCCACACCAGGAGTTACATATTCTGACTAGCACGCATCTGAGGCGGCGTTGGTGACACGTTGTATTAGTCGTTATATTTGATTATTAAATAAGTAATTTAATTAATGATCAATCACATCGACTCATTTTACAATCCTATTAGTCCTTTATTTAGACTAAAAACCCTTCTCATTCATTTGGTGAGGAACGTGGCATTTTGAGCAACATTTGCACACATATTGCAGTATTATGGCTAACTAATGATTAATCGATTAATTGCTCGCTATTTTAAACGACGATAGATCATGGGAATTTTTGTGTAAATTGACATCCCTCCCTCCCTACTAACTAATATATATATATATATATATATATATATATATATATATATACACAGGTCCTTCTCAAAAAATTTGCATATTGTGATAAAGTTAATTATTTTCCATAATGTAATGATAAAAATTAAACTTTCACATATTTTAGATTCTTTTCAGGTCTTTTATTGTTTTAATACTGATGATTTTGGCATACAGCTCATGAAAACCCAAAATTCCTGCCTCAAAAAATTTGCATATTTCATCCGACCAATAAAAGAAGTGTTTTTAATACAAAAAAAAGTCAACCTTCAAATAATCATGTTCAGTTATGCACTCAATAGTCAATACTTTGCAATACTTAGACCACACTTTTTCCTTCCCACAGACATCCCACTGAGGTGCCTTGATACAGCACTCTGGGAACAGCCTATTTGTTCAGAAATTTCTTTCTGCCTTACCCTCTTGCTTGAGGGTGTCAATGATGGCCTTCTGGACAGCAGTCAGGTCGGCAGTCTTACCCATGATTGCGGTTTTGAGTAATGAAACAGGCTGGGAGTTTTTAAAAAGCCTCAGGAATCTTTTGCAGGTGTTTAGAGTTAATTAGTTGATTCAGATGATTAGGTTAATAGCTCGTTTAGAGACCCTTTTCATGATATGCTAATTTTTTGAGACAGGAATTTTGGGTTTTCATGAGCTGTATGCCAAAATCATTAGTATTAAAACAATAAAAGACCTGAAATATTTCAGTTGGTGTGCAATGAATCTAAAATATATGAAAGTTTAATTTTTATCATTACATTATGGAAAATAATGAACTTTATCACAATATGCTAATTTTTTGAGAAGGACCTGTATATACACACATCTCACAAGAATAACGACAATATCATCTGTGATTTGTGATTCAATTAGGGATGAAACGATGTGTCATTGTAATCGATTCCGTAAATTAGTCAATTTGCGTGGAATGCGTCAATTCGTTACACTGTTTATGGTCATCCCCAAAGATGGTGGCTCCGACTCTCGGCATGCTGAAAATCAGCTGTTATTATAAAAATATCGAGCCCAATCTAAAGTGTGGGAATTTTTTAAACAGAGACCAAATAAAATTGTGCTCCGCACGCTCTGTAAAACTGAAATGGCATAGGCCTACCACAGCAGCACAACTTCTAGGATCTGAGAATCGCATCTGAAAAGAAACCATCCCGGGGCTCTCCTACCTCAAAACGACCAGACGGCAGTGTAAGTATTTGGACTATTATAGTGAATTTTTTACACAGCACTAGAATACAGTTGTAAGTCCCATATTTTGTGCTTAAAGACACACCAAGCCGACAAAGAACTAGCAGGGACGAAAGTTGACTGTAGTGGATGTAAGGCTGTGAGACACGCGACTCAAACATACTCTCAGCAACCGGAAACAAAGCATTTAACGCTGTTGTTGGTTATTTAAAATATTTCATTTATTTAATAACGTGCTGTCAGTCATTGTAAAACTTTTAACACGGTTTTATGGACGCTGTCATTTTGATACCGTCGCTATGGTTGTTTAGAATGCGGTTGTGACTTAAGCTATTTGATCATACAGCAGCTATAAAATACTTTAATATATAACAGGGCTCCCATGTCATGGGATTAATCAATGCATGCTGATGAATAGTGGTCATAGTTTTGCACTGATGTAAAAAGACTGACAGTGACACAAGACCTCATGTTAGCAAAATGTTTTAATCTTTTAACTATCAAATCAAAATATTGTCAAAAAAACTATTAAAAAGTTAAAAGTAAAAAGATGACTGTGAAAAATAGTAGTATTTAATTAAATGCATTTATGGTGAGATTACTACATTTTATTTAATTAAATGCATATATGATGAAATTCATTGTCATGTCAATTTGTGCTCCTTTTGACCACGAACTAAGCGCTGTCACTTTAATTCAGCACAGCAAAAATAGACTCGGTGTGTAAACGATCTCTGCACTGCTACGCACCGCTCCTGGAACGGATGCAGTGTGAAAACACCGTGTCAGGCTACACAAATAGTGATCTTGACATTGTTAGCCTCTTGTCTTTTTTACATGTCGTACACTGTACATGTAACTTACAATTATTATGACTTAATTCCAAGAAAAAACAAGTAGAAAAGAGTTCAGGAATCAAACACAACCAGTATGATGCAATAGAAAGTGCCGATTTATTTTTTGTATCGTATTATTTCATTAAGCATAGGCTAGTTTTTCTCATCACATTCAATAAAGACAAAAAAAACCCCACAAAATTTAGGTAAATAGTTTTTTTTTTGCCAGGGCACTGTATTTTAGTACATTGTTTTAAAATTTTACCGGTTCTGGATTCCCAACCCTAATCAACAAAAAAGGGGAAAAGAGAGAGGACAGAATTGAAAATGCTCTTCAAATGGACAAGGTGCTGCGTGAGAAGTTGGAGAGCAGTTAGTGGAACACAGACAGCAGTGTATGATCAGAAACAGTCCTAGAGAGAGAGAGAGAGAGAGAGAGAGAGAGAGAGAGAGAGAGAGAGAGAGAGAGAGAGAGAGAGAGAGAGAGAGAGAGAGAGAGAGAGAGAGAGAGAGAGAGAGAGAGAGAGAGAGAGAGAGAGAGAGAGAGAGAGAGATGGTGGGTTTGCTGGACAGTGAGTCTGATTGGCTGGCTGTTCTGTAAGAGGTGAGTGTCTTACAGAGTGAAGGAGCTGGAACGCGTCAGTGGACGTGCAGCTGAGGCAGGGCAGTGTATATGGTCACATGACACGTTACATGATGCTTTACATGCACCTACAGCTAACACAGCATCAAACCTCAAGACCATTCCAGTGTGCACGGCAACACACAGAGGCTCTGGGTGCTGTAAGACAACATGTGTTTTTATACAAAGCCCATTAGGTCGTTCCCAAAAAAAGACACCGCATGGCTAGCAAACTGACGGGAGTTACACGCAGGCCCTGGAAATGATGCAAACCGGCAATCAGCTCGAAGCCCACTAACATTAAATTTACATTAGCTAAATTACTCCTGTGCCCAGTGATAATTTAACACAGCCAATCACAGAGGAGTAAATAAATAAACACACAGAGAATCTATACTATGCTTCAAAAATGGCTGGCTATGGCTGGTTTTGTTCTTCTTTGTTTATCAGACTACTGACATCCAACTTGTGCTTTGCAGTTAAAAGCAAACTTGCTGAAAATAAAGAGGATGGTAAAAAAAAAAAAAAAAAAATAAGGGAAAAAATGGAAAATTAAAATAAGCCTCATGCATTAATAATATTTATTACCCTAACAAATGTAAGGAAAGGATTGTAACATACTTGGCTGGGCGATATTCGTGAATCGGCCTGTATTAGTGATTTTTTATTTGATTTGATTGGAATCGTCACATTACTTTTGCTGTCAAATAGTGCTGCTAAATTGAATGGATAGTGCTAGAAAACAGCTAAATTTTACCATTTTTTAGAGCACAATTTCTTAAAGGGTGACCGACTATCTATTCAAACTTTTCGTAAACTAACCAAACATCTAAAACACAATGTATAAATATTTTATATTGTATATAATGATGCCTAAAGAAATTTGTGCATCAAAAACAGTGTTGGGTGTAACTTTCCCCTTGAGGATTACTCTTAATTTTTAATTACAGTTACTTCTGATGTAATTGCATTAAATACTGTATAGACTATAGAACAATTCTATGTAAAACAATAGTGGATTTAACAAGTCTAAAGTCAAAATGTATGTTTTAAATGTAACTTTCTCATTTTTAAATACTTTGGTCTTGAGAATAATTTATGCCATTTTATATTTTTTTATTTGAAAGAATTAAAAGAGCAGTTTCATGTCTATCCTTGTATTGTTCAACTGGTTGAGGTTGATATGGGATTTAGAAAGTAATAAGTTATGCAATACATTTTAGAGAGAATAATTAGTACAGTAATCTAATTACACGATTGAAGACCTAATCAGTAGCTAGTAATTAATTACTTACCCAACACTGATCATAACATTAAAAATGTAAAGTAAAATAAACATTAATTGATTTGACATATACAAATTTTTGTTTCCAGTATAGAACAACATTTTTAAAATCTGTATTTTAATCATTGCAATAACATTTTTGAATCTATGAAGTGAATGGCTGTAAAAATGATGGCTCCTCTTTCTCACAAAACTTTTTAAGCCATTTCAGAACACATCCATAAATAAAGACGTATGTCAAAATGCAGCTAAAAATATTACGATATAATTGAGAATTATTCGATTTTTGTTTACCGCCCAGCTCTAACCCCTTAACATCTGGAAGAATAAATTTAGGTTTGCGAAACAACAATCAAAACTCACTCCGCTGAAGAAACAGAAATAAATCTGTTTAAAGAATGATTAAACAGAAGAGTCCTGCTGGTGCTACAGTTTGGGAAGGGCCTTTTTTTGTGAGTTGCGTACAGAAAGATCATGGGACATGAGACTGGTAGGAGAGCAGGGGGAAGGGGGGGAAACTGAGATTTTAGGAAGGTGAAAAGCTGTGCAAACCTTCCAAACTTGTCCTTGCTGGGGGAAGCATTGTAACAGAAAGAGAGAAAATTACACATAAACACAGGTTCCAATGTCTACCATGCATGTTCACTTCAAAACAAATTAGCTTTGGGAACTAATTGTAAGTCGTTCCAGTTAGTGTGTTGTTTCGGGTCCTAAGGAGGGACGCAAGGGGTCAGTTGGGTCACACAGTGCAGTCGTTCCCAGAGCTAACATTGACACCATGCAGAATTCACTCCTCCGGGAGCAGGAACACTGTGGGCTGAGTTCAGAATTCACATCCATGTTCAAGAAAAGACTAGGAAGTTTGTGATTAGTCAAAGAAACATAATCCATGCAAGTAAAAGGGAACCAAGGTCAACATGTTCACAAAATGACTGAAAACAGATCTGAACTTAAAGAATGACGAACAGAATCACACTGCAAACAGAGAGCGAGCAAACAAACAAAACAGACAAACAAACAAACAAAAATGTCATTATTATCTGCTCACTTGCATCAAATCATCTCATGCACAGAATTATAAAAGCAAAGAGCCAATTACAGCTGACTATCACTGATCTCAGCTGAATCCATTCTGGTGAACTTTGCCTATCCATGTCATTTCAATCAGAAGTAATATCAGGTAAGAGTACTAGATAGCACTTCATCGAGTAGTGCACTAATGCCTCGTTTCCACAGAGCGGTACAGGACGGTACAGTACAGTTCCGAACGATTCGGGAAGGTAAACCCTGATACGGCTTGCGTTTCCACCGCCAACAGTACCCTTGATAGGCGTGGTGTATGCCGGAGAGTAGCGATCGATGTCATTCTTGCGTGAAGAAGAAGAAATCTTGTTCTTGCTTGTCGGCATGTGTCATTCCCCTTGTGGCACGCGCAAGTGACGATTCTCTGTCAACCAATCAACGTTCAGCAGAGAGTCTAGCTCCACCTTTTAGAACCGGACTACTGTGCTTGGTACCACAACGGAAGGGTCCCAAAAAAGTGGTACGGTTCGGAATTAGGGTACCATTCACAACTTTTGACAATGGAAATGGCAAACGTGTGCCGTACTGAACTGTAGCGTACCACTCGGTGAAAACGAGGCATAAATGTGCTTGATCATTTGAACTCAGTTAAACTGTTGTTTCAAGAGATGTAGCTTTAAAAGAGGTTGTAGCTTTATATTGTCTTTTACCCCTTTTCCACCAAAATGATGTTGGTGCCGATATAGCTAGACAGAGTGCAACGTAAACTAGGAAAGGGTTGAAAATACTGATTTCTCGATTTTAATCGATTCTCATTTTGATTAAACGATACTGATTCTGAAATCCCACGAAACAATCTTATAGTCTATGCCGTTTTCAGCTGATGCGAGAACACTAAACATTATTTGAAGCGCGCCTTCCATCCAATAACTTGCAATAAGCTTTGTGCTTTGATACTTTTGATAGTTTCAGCTTTCAAATTCAGCTAGAAAACTCGAAAGGAGCATTTTGATAAATGAAGAGTTTGGTTCCAAAACGCAATAAATCCATTTAGATTAATTTGAGTAAAAATGTGTTTTCTTTACCAAGAAAGTGGAAAGATGAAAACCACTATTTTCTGTTTCAAACTTTCACATAGCATTTGTAGGTCATAACAAAAAAAAATTAGAATCCAGGTTTTGATTTTCAAAGATTTATTACAAAAACAGATTATTTTTTCCCCCAAAATGCAATAAATCCATTTTTTTTATTCAAAATGCAATTAATCCATTGAATCAATATAAAAGTTTTTTTTCATATCGAAACTGTTGAAAATACACAACAACGTAAGTTTATTAGTATTATATTTTTATTAAGAACTGTAAAGAAGATTGAAAACATTTTTCCTCCTCCCGAGTGCCTCATCTTCTTAATCTCCTCACGTAAATGATTCGATTTCGATGCCTTACGTTTCTTACCCACCGCAGAAACAACCACAGGTTCATCAATTATCACAGGTCCGTCAAAATTATTCAATTTTTTGTTTATTTGTTTATCGAAAAGTAAAAAATAGATAAGAAAAACTAGGAAGCCGGGTGTATTTAAGGCGCTGCCGTTACTGTTTACATTGCGTGGAATGGTGCGTTGTGATTGGTTGAGAGCGGATATATCGCATTCTGCAGAGAAGGGAGACTGGCGTTTGTCGCCGTTTGGAAAGAAAGGGAGAAAACATGACAGAATAACACGGCGGATATCGCAAAAAAAATTATCGTAACTAATTTTTTTTAAAAAATGCCGTTTATCGCGTTTTGGAACCAAACTCTTCAAATATACTTAGCCTACTCGTTTATATTTTTACTTAACCTGTTGTTCAATTTTTCTTGAGCGTTTGAATAAATCCATCATGAAAACAAGTTATGCAGCCTCAATTTAAATGTTTATATTTTAGAGATGCGCTGGTCGACTGTAGGGCTGGGCGATAAAACGATAACGATAATTATCGCGATATAATTTTTCTCGATAAAACGATATCAAGAGGTCGATAAATGTTCGATAATGTGTATGCGCCAAAAGCGGAACGAAACTCATTTGAACCGCGCGCCACACGGACCGTTTATCCGCTCGGCTCAAAGTCCAAATGGCAGCGCGAGCTCACTAAAGCAGACGCGTTCGTCTCGCTCACGAGATCCAGTGAGAAGCGCTTAAGTTCAGCGAAGAACACAAATGTCCAGTTTAAATCAGTTTAAAGGCAGATGAAACACAGCTGACAAACAGGAGAAACACTGTACGCAACGATACAGTCAGAATCTGAATGGAAACTGAATCCATTTAGCCTACCATGGATTTACTGTAACGTTAGCCTAGTAATATTAACTGCACCATGAAATGTGGGATATACATATTGAATTGTATAATATTATTAATGTAGACAATGTATCAAATGACTAATGGAATATAATTACAGTATTTAATAATGTATTTAACTGTTTGTAGGCTAATGTAGGCTACTGTTTTTCATACAAAAACCATAGAAACCATAAAGTTACATTTTGCCATGATAGTGAGGTGCTAAGTTATAGACTGTACCTGGCTTTATCTGTGGTTATCATGATCTAAATCCATGATACTGGATGACCAATGGTTAATTTTAATAAAACTCAAACAGTCAGAATATTACATTTTACCAAATAAAAATGTGGTCCTTAAATAAAAAACAAACAAACAGATGTTACTGTTTTTGTTAATGAACATAAATTTAACATAGTAGCATTAGCTTGAGTTAGGATGTAGATTTACTGTCAACTCACTGTCGAATATGCATTTCGAGACAAAACATGTAATTTGAATATTGCAGCCTGCACTGCAAACTGTGCTGAAGAAATATTTTTCTTTTCAAATATTTATTTTGTTAAGGAAAAATGACAAATGTTTGAATGTTCTACCTCAGATTTTTAAAACCACAATGCTCTGGTTTATACAACTTTCACTTAGGAGCAAAATTCTGCCTTTAAACTTGAAAGAAATAAAGATTTGACATTTATCGTGATAATTATCGATATCGACTGATGTAAAAAAAAATATCGTGATATTTTTTTTGGGCCATATCGCCCAGCCCTAGTCGACTGGCAATAAATCTGAACCAGTTTTTAGTTTTATTTTGGCAGATAACAGAGACGAGACACACCAAAGACGGACGCAAAGAGGAGAACAGAGTCGTGCTTTTCCTCTTACCTCTATAAGTGCAGCGCTGCTTTGGTTACAGCGGGAACCAAGACAACGCTATATCGCTGCTGTTCCATAAGCGCCACCTACTGTCGAAAAACTAGTCCCGTCTGAATAGGGCTTTTGTTTGGGTCATGAATGCAGTGGTTGCCTTTAATTTCAAATGGCTAATAGATATTTTTGTGAAAGGCCAGTTTGGCCTGTAATAGAGCAAATAAACAACAAATACATTTACAAAAAGAAAAATCAGCAACCGGATTTGGAATTGGTCATAAAAATCCCCATTACATTTCAAAAAACGAATTGGAGTATAAACACAATTATGTCATTAAAAAGTTTATTATATCATAATTATAATAAAAGAAACTGCGTAATTTAAATTTTATATATAACTAATTTGTTCATTTCAACCTTCAATATTATAGTAATGTACCAATTGGCAGGGTGTATATTTATTAGTTCAGAGATTTATTTTCCTCCAAATTTACATTTAAAATTAAATCACATGTTTGTGAATCAAAATTAAATTTGTGTCAATGCCCAGCCCTTATGTAAAGGAAGAGAAAGCATGGGGTCTTAAGAAATATTATTATTTTTACAAATCAAACATGTAAAACTTTTGGTGGGATATATTTCTCTTTTGTGTGTATAATGTGTATATGTATAATATATCTACAGATGAAAAATCTAGATTAACTAGTCAACCTCACTAATCGACTAGCTGGTTGTTGGATTTGAGTCTGGTTGAGCTAGTCTAGTGGTTAACATTTTGAAAATGATGTATGATATATTACTGCTGTGGAACCCATTTGTCCTGCTTTCGGTGGAAGTGCACAGAACTGCTACTGGTTTGGGCACTGGCTTTGGCACCAGCACTATTTTGGTGAAAAAGGGGTCTCTGAGGATTTCATGTCGAGCTAAACACTGTGAGATAAGAGCGCACTTCCTGAGGTTGTTTCCATGGAAGGATTCTGCTGTCATTTCCTGTGACACAGTTTTGCTACCAACCTATATGCTACTGGCAGCTAAAATCCAACAAATTCCAAACTGCATTTAGCACAATTTATGTTTAAAACAAAGTCAGTGTCAGTTATCATTCTATGCTTAAATTGCACAAGCACATGAAAGAGGTCTATTTAAGGTTTAAACTTATATGAAAAACAAGCATCAAATCGTATTCGCTTAGATAGTAAACATTACAAAACAGAAAGAACAACAGAATGTCAGTTTTAGGAATTCAGAATCAAATCAGCAAGCATCAAATGCTATCTAAAATCTTAACTCCCTCTTTGTACCCACCAGAACGCAACGTAGATCTTACAGCACTCAATGCAATGCCTGCCAGTTGCTAGGCAACAGGACTGCCAAAAGCATGCAATTTCTAGTCCTGTGGAAAAGCAATCCCTCAACTAAATTTGACAGAAAAAAATGCTATATGAAATAATGGGCAATAACACTGAACTGGTACAGTCAAGTTTCCCACAGTGCACTCAACTGTGTTGTATTCCGAATGGATATGGTGCATGGGGGGTACACAAGAATATGACAGAATATGACTAATATTGGGTTGACCCCCGGTGACTTGTCTGAATGAGGGAGGTCAGACATACACAAGAGTGACATCAGTGGGCATGGAGAGACAGGCGGCACTCCAGAGACCTTCTTGCGCTCTAAACGGGCATCACACACACTGATGAATTCACATCACTTATCTGAGCGAGTTCACAGCCAGAGGGAGGAAAAAAATGCTAACGGCGATGGTCCTTCACTAGCCCACTTTCTGCTGTGATCTGGACTGCTGCCATTACGGCTAGCATCAATGCCAAGCCTTTCTCAAAAACCTCAGAAGTGGCTTTATTGGCAAAGGGTAAGAAAAAAATGTGGAAAAAAAACCCCGACTAGAATTGACAGGCTTTACTTCGTGTGTGATGCTAGCACGATTCAAGATATTTCAAGCCGATTGCTGAAAGTGTAATGGGAAGATGTCATGAAAACATGTCCTGCTCACATTTTAAACCAACAATAAGAGAAAAAATATGTTGCATACCGAAAATAAAGACCATTATTTCATGACATTTAAGCACTTCCCTGTAATTATCATAATAGTGTGATTTGTGTCTGGATATTTTACTTCCTGGTAGGCTAATATACCAGCCAGACAAATGAATAATTTGGCCTTATTCAGATCAGGCATCAGTTTTATCTTATCAGCATCAGTTTGTTTGTTTATCAGACATGTTACCTGTCAAAATCTGTGTTTTTTTTCCCCTGTGAATATTATGTAAAAGTCCCCCTGTGGTGAAAATCAAGTTTTTAATGTTGTTTATATATGTCTATGTGGTGTTTTTAATATGTTTTAAGTAGGGCTGTCAAATGATTAATCACGATTAATCACATCCAAAATAAAAGTTTTTTTTACATAATATATGTGGGTGCACTGTGTATAATTATTTTGTATATATATATAAATACACACACATGCATGTATATATTAAAGAAAAAAATATTATTTATATACACAATATTTATATTTATATATAATATAAATTATATATAAATCTATACACAGTATATACATGAAAATATTTCTTAAATATATACAAGCATGTGTGTGTATTTATATATATAAAATAATTATACACAGTGCACCCACATATATTATGTAAAAAAAACTTTTATTTTGGATGTGATTAATCACGATTAATCATTTGACAGCCCTAGTTTTAAGACAAACCATGTGCAAAGTCACAAGTCAACACCATTCCTAAGTATTTTCTCCCTAAAACTGCAGTGAAAAAGACGGTTCGATTCGAAATCGCTGGCGTTTCTGACGTCACAAACTACCTTGTAACTAATCACGTCAACGTGCCGGCGGGCTTTAGCAAATTAACTATGCTGTGAAGCAGGGGAGTCTCAAGAGAAGCCAGGTTATCCCGGTATATTTTTCTGTTGATATGAAAAATCAGGCACTTTTAGCAATATAGCGGGTGAATTATGTACATGATGTATATTGCGATGAACTATATGGCCTTCTACACTGGCATTCTAAGTTGTACAAAGCGTCCTAAGGTCAGCTGTCTGACTCTGAGATGGTGAATGGAAACATGGTTTGTGTAACATTATTAGCTGTTTGACAACAGTCAAGCAAAAGGCTAATCATATTAACTACCGTTATGTGTCCGACGTTGTAGAGAGCGATACATAAAACGCATTACCATCCTGATACATCGACTTGAGATGACCGAGTAGATTTCTGAGCTGAAGTGATTGAATGGAGGCGGGGCTAATTTGCAAATTAATGGTCCACGTATACTAAATGAAGTAAGGGTGTGGTTACATTCAAGATATTTTAAGGCATGAATAAAAAAAAAAATCACAAGAAAAAACATTTAAATGTGCATGTCATTTTGGTGATCAAAGTTGAGTTAAGGGATTCAATTATTGACTACAGGGGGACTTTAAATAAGCACTCAAATTTAATTCACAATCACATTTTTTTGTCATTAATTTTTTCACAAATTCCCAAAATCACAAATTGCTTGTCACTAAAATCTAACATAGTAAAATCTAATCTAAACCTAACCTAAAGATACTGCAATATATATTTTAAATCAGAATTAAATAATTTCATTATTTATAAATCATTTAAATTATACATATAAATGGGTCAAAACACAATACTGGTCTCAGCTTGTTGGAAACATATTAATAACAAGCCGAGACCTAATTGTGGGTCAAAAGTAGGGATGCTCTGATTGATTTGCCGCAGATCGATATCAGCCGATAATCACATTCTATGACTCGATCAGATCTCACCAAACGATCGCAAATTGATGACGCCAGACTTCAGTGCCGCAGTCATGTCAGTGTGGAGTTATTACGCGGTATCAAGAAACATGTTCAGTTGTAATTATGTTCAGTTTGACATTAAGTCTTGTAGGCTCTTTAATAAGTCAGAGTATGCTAGTATGGATAATGTTTTGCATAACCTGTTTTTAAAGGCCTATTAAAATGTTCATTGTAAAATTAATATTTGTTGTGCTTAATCTGCTTATTTATTTGATTCTCAATATATAGCATTACTGTAAATAACATCTGTGGTATTACTTATGTTATTGGAAAAAAACACTGACATTCAACAGAGAGCTTAAATATCACTTAAAGAATGAATGATCTGGACCGGTATTGGCCGATCATGACAAAAAAATCGGTAATGGGCATCGGCTGCAAAAATCCTGATCGGAGCATCACTAGTCAAAAGTGGAATATTTTTATTCTACCAATTTTGACCCATTTATATAGGCATTTACTGCTTAATTGCCATGAAAATAATGTCACAATGCAAAGATTTTTAAGCAAAATATCCTTTTGATTTTGGGGTGAAATGTGACCCAGACATGTTCTAGAGTGGTTCTGTGATATTTACCCAAATATGTTTATGAGTCATCTAATAATTTTTTTCAAACTGATTTAAAATAAGAATTAATTCGAATTAAATATGTTTTAAATAGACTACAGCAACTAACATTTTGTCAGAACCTAACCTAACAGTAAATAACATGTTGTTTTGTTTAGTCTTTTCAGAATCTTGATCTCTATTTGAAATTATTCTCAATTTAGCCACAATCGTGCAGCTCAATTCCCAAGATACTAGGCAGTAGGCACAACCAATTTGTGCCTATGATTCTTAAATCACAGATTAATTATTTCTTATTAGAGCTCAGCAAAATCAAACAACTACTTTTACAATTAAATTCACCTTTTGATAAAGGGAAATTAGGAAAGATCAATAGTGCAGGACACAAGTGTCAAACCACCACTTCAGAATCCTACAGATCTGACATCTGTCAAACATGCTCTGGACTTCAGGTATGACAGATGAACGATTGAAAGGGCTTGGAAGTGATCATTTCAACACACCCACTGAGATATCAAACTGGAAGATTCAATTTGACCAGGACTGCCAAGCTGCTACCAACTACCCATAATTAGATTTTTGTAGAAACTAGCTTTCAGGGCTGTGATGCCTGGATTGGACTATCCTCTTCTATAGATGGGTCATTATCAGTGCTTTAAAAGCTGGGTCACTAGAGGTTCTAGTCTGAACACACAATGTTCACAGGCCCTCTCAATCACAGCTTTGTGCACTTAACCCTGAGTACAGTGCCAGTATATAGATATGCTAGCATGATATCTGCTTTAAGATCGTAGGGGGTAGGGGGTGTAAAACTAGGACATTAGCCACCCTCATCCTAATCTCACCATTATAAACATCGTTATTTTTATAGGTTAGATCTACCCCCTAGAAATTCACTAACCTGTACTAAATCTCAATCAAATGAGACATTAATGCACTACACAAAGAAAACATTGATTTATGGCTGTGTCGAGCGCGCATACACACGCACGCACTCACTCACTCACTCACTCAGGGCCTGGCCACATCAACCCCGTGTGTGTGTGTATGTATGTATATGGTTGTGTATTTGTATGAGTGTACTGCAGTCCTCTGCTACACACATGCATGAAGCGCTTATTCTCACCTTCTTTATGTTGTAGATGCGCGTGAGCATCCCGATGCCGCGGTCGTTGAGGATCGTCAGTTTCTCCGCCAGCTTCTGCTGGCTCGGCTGCAGCGCGCTCCGAGACATGGCTCAAACGACCGTTAAAACGAGCTAAATCTCAACCGAACGGATTCCTCTTGTAGTGTTAAAGGGTAAAGTGCCAAAACGAGTTGGTTTTTAGTGTTAAAATTCGCCCATATTACGGGCTTCAGGCGCGTCGTCGGGATGTATTTTTTTTCTAGGTGTTGCCCTGACGGCCAGAACGAGGCTGCTTCCGGCAACGTCACTGCGTCACGTGACCGGAGCACTCCGCAGGACCGCCGCCCCCATCATGCTGATGATAGTAGGCTAGTTGTTGCAAAAAATGTGGTTATTGTCTGAATTCTTTTCTGTGGGTTTTATAGTTTTAAGCTTAAAATTTATTTGGTACATTTATACACATATGCAAATATAAGCAGTTTTCCAATATTTAAAAAAAAATCATTTAATGCATCCCAGCGAGCAAAGAGTCGTCTATAATACGTCTAAAAGACGTAATTGTTAGACATCCAAAAGACGTCCTCACAGGAGCCAGAATGAAAGTTTTTTATACGTCTTTTCAGGACGTTGTTTAGACGTCAATTAAAGACGTGCTACAGACGTAATTTTTAAACATCCAGAAGACATCCTCACAGGAGCCAGAATGAAAGTTTTTTATACGTCTTTGCTGGACGTTGTTTAGACGTAAATTAAAGACGTGCTACAGACGTAATTGTTAGACATCCAGAAGACGTCCTCACAGGAGCCAGAATGAAAGTTTTTTATACGTCTTTTCTGGACGTTGTATAGACGTAAATTAAAGACGTGCTACAGACGTAATTGTTAGACATCCAGAAGACGTCCTCACAGGAGCCAGAATGAAAGTTTTTTTATACGTCTTTGCTGGACATTGTATAGACGTCAATTAAAGACGTGCTACAGACGTAATTTTTAAACATCCAGAAGACGTCCTCACAGGAGCCAGAATGAAAGTTTTTTATACGTCTTTTCTGGACGTTGTTTAGACGTAAATTAAAGACGTGCTACAGACGTAATTGTTAGACATCCAGAAGACGTCCCCACAGGAGCCAGAATGAAAGTTTTTTATACGTCTTTTCTGGACGTTGTTTAGACGTAAATTAAAGACGTGCTACAGACGTAATTGTTAGACATCCAGAAGACGTCCCCACAGGAGCCAGAATGAAAGTTTTTTATACGTCTTTTCTGGACGTTGTATAGACGTAAATTAAAGACGTGCTACAGACGTAATTGTTAGACATCCAGAAGACGTCCTCACAGGAGCCAGAATGAACGTTTTTTATAATTTTTTTTTGGACATTGTTTAGACGTCAATTAAAGACATGCTACAGAGTTAATTGTTAGACATCTAAAGGCAGCCAGAATAAAAGTTGTATTAGTCACGTTTTCTGTAGTAGAAATGTCAAAGAAGACTGTTAAAGACCCATATTGAAACGGAAATCCCATTTGTGCATTTTGCAAGGATCCAACTTTAAAAAATCTTTACTTCAAAACAGTGGCAGTGAGTTAGTTCTCACTGAGAAAAACCCAGTTACTCATTGTTAATGGTTGTCGTGTCATGAAACTGCAGACACACAGACCATAGACCTAAATAAGATTTGAAAGAATTTTGATAATATTGAATACTCAATTGAATACGGGAACTGTGTAGAGTCTTGCATTTGTATATCTTATCAATATAATTGTAATAAACTGCTTACCATTTGCCTGTAAACCAAACTGATCACTCCAAGAAATCAACTATTTAAATCTCAAAATATATATTTTATTACTATTTTGTTCTACTGGACCAAAACTTAAAAGCCAGAACAGTAAAGTTATAAATTAACACAATTTCCCTTTAAATAATCTATAAAATGTTGTTAAAACAGTATAACATATCAATTAACAAAATGTGGCTGCTATAAGCTTCACAAGCTTCATTTATAGCGGCAAGCCCCGACTCTCCCGGGGGCATGTTTCAGATGATCGGCTGCAGACTTTATTTGGGCCTCTGTTGCAGCTGGGTCCCATTTCATGACAGCAGCTACAATCAAAGCAAAAAAATACACATGTAAAATAAATAAATACAAACGCCACTGTTGTGGTTTAGCTTGCAGCAGAGATGCATAGAAAATGTTAGTACTCGAATCAATGAAATGAAACAGTTATTAAATCACAAATCAAGTAAAATTACATCAAGCCTGATATAAAGCATTCCACACACACATACACATATATATATTCTAGGGATGCACGATATAGGATTTTGGCCGATATTCGATATGCCGATATTTTCAGACTAATTTTGCCTGATGCCGATACCGATATATTTGTGTGTTTTTTTAAGTGCAAAAAAAGCTTATTAAAGCTTCTATTAAAGTTCTCAGTCAAGAGCAGTGAGTGATTTCCTCTTTGTGTTTTTTTGTTTTATTAACATTAACGAGATAGTTCTCCCCAAAATTTAAATTGTCATCATTTACTCTCTCAAGTTTCTTTCTTCTGTTGAAATTATAAAAGTTATTTGGAAGAATGTGGCTAACCAAACAGTTGCTGTACTTCAGTGACTTCCATAGTATATTTAAGCACAAGAAAGAAATGAATACAGGTTTGGAACAACATTAGAGTGAGTAAATAATGACAGAATTTTTATTTCTGGGTGCAGTATCTCTTTAAGGACAAGCGGCAGCATATTATTACTGTCTCTTTAAGAACTGCACGCGACGCGTCTAATATACACGCATTTGACAAGCAGATTTTCTCTGTTTGCTTTCACTTTAGACATAACCAACTTTGTTTATGTAAACCGTGTGTGTATTTGACAGTATCAGCGCAATAAGACTCGAAAGATTAGTCCGGTATGCAGACTCTGTGACAGGCTTTTAGTTCCTGTGAGCGTCGGGTGTAACGCGCTCAGAAAAGCGGATGTTAGAACAGCGCATCAGCACGTGAATGATATGTTTACCTAGCAAGACTTTGACGCACATGCAAATAATGAACTTTTGTGAATTGCGGTGTCCCGTGACCGTGAGTGTAACTCTACCTCTGCGTTTACATGTGATGTGATGTGAATGTACGTCGCGTTGTACAGTATGTTGAGATGAAGGCGCCAGAATTGAACTGATAGAATGCACGATACTATGATTTTTCTTCAAAAGCAGATCGTGGAGACATTTTAATCGTCCACGATCAAAAACCGTGGGACGCACACCCCTAGTTGGAAGTTTTGCTGGCGCTCATGCTTCGTTCGCGTCACGTGCGCATAGGAAACACGCCACCCTATCGGCAAGGCTCATCGGCAGAAATATTCATATCGGCCGATGCCGATGATGGTCATTTTAAGCTTTTATCGGCCGATACCGATGTTGTCCCGATATCATCGTGCATCCCTAATATATTCGTATTCGTATTGAACCGTTCGGTACGAGGCTTTCGGTTCAGTGTGCATTACAAACCGAACGGTTTGTTGGACCATTTTTCCTGCTGACCAAAATTTCGTTATTTAAAATGTAGGGGCGTGGCAAGCGTGCTCATAATGTAAGAGACGCTGCTGCGACCACAACATTGCCCAACATCAAATAGCAAACGTAATGTAAGCGGAACGAAACTGCAGCTGCGCTACTCGTTATTGTGTGGTTGACGGATCGTTTATCAGTTTGGACCAATCCAGCGTCTTGATCAAGCGACACTGTTACTACACAGCACTAAGAGATCCAGTAAAGAAAGCAGTTGAATTTGCCACTGAAGTAATAATATCGCAGCGAGATCTAGTGAGAAACATTCACATTTCTTCGTTATTAACGGATCAAACAGCGCTGACGTGGAAAACAGGAATAAACATTGTGCCATGAATGAACTATCCAGTGCCCACAGATCAGCAACATTCACCATGGATTTACTGTAGTAACACTACTAACTGTAACCATGGAAGTTTGGCAGGAATAGTAGGCTATAATGCGTTCAAGTAACGTTACGTCGGTTTTATTTCGACATTATGAATAAAATTGCTGCCCTCAAATGTTAATCTGAAATAAAATAAACCTTTGTTTATAACTACTACAATATTACAATTAATTTTTTTCAAGGAGCAAGGAGCTGTTTTTGTTTTATATGCTCCTAAGAAGAGTCAAGTGTAGCTCCATCACTGCTCAAAGTAAAAAATTATCATACTTTGATGAAAAATTATTAAAAAAATTAAATCAAGGAAATTTCTCTGGCTTTTCTTTCTTTTTGCTGTATCAAAAACGTACCGAACCGTGAATTTTGTGAACCGTCACACCCCTAACATATATATTTATTTACATTTGAATACAGTTATCAAAGACCTGTTTGTGAAAGGTTTTTTATTTTTATTATTGTTTATGTTAAAACTAGGGGTGTGACGGTTATTATATAACCGTGAGACCGATGGTTATAGTTGAACACCGTCATTAGAACTCTATAACCGCCAAAACCGTGTTATTAAAATATATTGCAGATAAGGTTATACTAATATCAGTGTTGGGGAGTAACGGAATACATATACCAGCGTTACGTATTCAGAATACAAATTATGAGTAGGCCTAACTGTAATCTCCACAGTAGAGCCCGACCGATATATCGGCGGGCCGATATTATCGGCCGATTTTAGGCATTTTCCTAACTATCGGTATCGGCATTTATAATGGCCGATAAATGAATATTTTAAAAAATGCGGGTGCGGTGATTCATGTAAGGGTGGCGCTGCCAATAAAGCACCTAAAAGCTGTCACAAGAACTGGCAAAAGTAATGATTATGAATACAACAAATATAGCAAGGAGACATTTTAATTTTTTATTAATAAACAAGTGTTTTCAGTCAGTGTCAGCCAAAGATGAAGTTGACGAAGCTGACTTGCGATCTTTAGTGAACGCGTGCCAGAGAGAAATGCACATTTCATTCGATTACATAAGTCTGTCTGTCTTTCGTTTTGAATTGTTCTGTTTAAAAGCAGACATTTCAATATAGATATATTTCAATTCTCAGGTCTATACGCTGAGTTTCGGTTCATGAGACGAGCTCCAGTTCACCCGCAGGCGCCTCCGTGTCGAGATTATCTATCGTCTGCTAAATTTACTTCTTATAAATTAAATCCAGACAAATGGTTGATGAAACATTGATTAAAATTAAGATACAATTAATACAAAACGAAATTCACTTTGAAACGAAAGGTTTTGTGCTTTCTGTTTGATGTCTATGTAAAAGTTTCAAAGCATATTTTAGTGCCGCTTTCAGAGCG